GAAAGAAAGTACGATAAAATCGTAGTTTAGGGTAGTAACGAACTAAGATTGACCATACTTTAATCGCGCATTAGTACATTAAATTTGATAATAATATCATTATTTATTTATCAAGATTGTCTAGATTAAATGAAAGAAATTAATATTACACTGTACAAGTGAACGTAAAGGAGAAAGAAGGTCTTGAATTTTTATTTAAAAAATCTCACTCGCGTATTGTCACATGTTGAAGTTAAATAAATCATTGTACATCAAATATTGCCATTTAATATGTATTAAATTTCATTATTCCACGTCTTAAGTATAAAAATATGAAAATATAATAATTTCACCTCGTTGATTCGTGACTGCATTTCCGAAAGTTTAATCTCCGAGGCAGATTTTTCAGACACAATTTCCGTCTTTAACTTGGAGGCCTCGAGTTTTGCTTCCGAAAGCTCATCCTCGATCGTAACAATTTGCTTTTCCAATAAAGCACGAGTTGCATTGGACACCTCTTCATCCTTAAATAATAAAAGGCAAATAATTGATGAGCGTAGAACTAGATTGACTAATTAGTAATTAATTGCTCGATAATGTACGCATTGTGAAAAAATTCGTTCCCACGTCCGTTTTACCATTGAGGATTCTTAAATGAGATTGGAATTATCGTGCCGAAGCTAAAGGAAAGTAGCGATATCTTTCACGACAGAGCCTTCTTTTATTCCAAATATTAAGAAAAATATAAAATGCTTATTATTATTATTATTATTATTATTATTAGACCAGAATTATATCAGATATTCGTGAAAATGTATATCTTCATAATGTCTAATAATAATAATAATAATAATAATAATAATAATAATAATAATAATAATATTAGTATGCTACGGTAAATCATGGACAACTAGTCGAGAGAGTAAATGAATGCATGTAAATAAATGCAATTGGATTGTCCCACCTCGTCAGATTTGCCAATGGACGAGGTTGACGACTTCCGCGGTCTCGTACTCTTTAACTCGGCGATACTCTTCTGCGCCCCCTCGAGCATCTGCTTATAGGTGTCTCGCTCGCGCTTATATCTCGTCAGCTGGGCTTGGATGGATTTAATCTCGTCGCCGATGGCCGCGACCCGCTGCTCATAACGCAGCTTGCATTGAGCGAGGTCGGCTTTCCGCGCCTTTTCCGCATTCGCTGCCGTGTTCTTTGCCTTCTTCAGCTCCGACTCCAGCACCGAGCTGTCCGTCGAGAAGTTGCGCTGGATCTTCGCCACGTGCGTGTAGTCCTGCAGTTTACTGCTTAGGTCATCGTTCTGGGTATCGGCAGTATAGAATCCATTTTTATATATATATATATATATATATATATATATATATATATATATATATATATATATATATATATATATATATATAGTTAGATATAGATGTGTGCGCGTGCGCGTGCGTTTGTCTATGTGTATATATTGTTGCAATACCTTACTCACATCTTACATTCTTCATTCCTAATACACATGCATAAACTCATACATGCACACCTACGTAAACGCACATGAATTATTAATATAACTTTAATACAAGCGATTATTAATACATACTATTTGAGGTTAAAACTATTGAACACTGATTTTACGAGATGTGTGAAGCGAGATTAATAATTTTGCTTTCTTATTAAAATTCAGCGGTAAGATTAAGCCTCGTTTACATAAAATACAATCGATAAAATTTCAGATATTCATAATTGTACGTAATAAGGATAAATACGTTGAGTATTAATTTGTATTAAGTTCTTTGCATTGGAATAAAAATTTTGGCACTTTTTAATTTTCATTCGTCAAATTCTTCGCTAATTTTTAACATTATGTTGCGTCGACTTACAGCCTTCTTCAAATCCTCGATTTGTTGCGTCAATGAGCTGCTTTCCTTCTTCAGTCTCAAATTTTCTTCCCGTAAATCAGCTTGCGATAGAGAAATCGCCGTCTTTTCGTATTCGTGTAATTGTCTCTAAAATCATTAATAAAAATAACGTTATATCGTCGTGATAATTGTTATTCAAGATTGAAAATACCGTTGATACCGTTTAAATTTAATTCGCGATACATCTATACGAAAGCATTTTACTGAATTAATTAGACCATTTATTAATTTACTTACTATATGATTTCTACGAGAAAATGATTTTTTCTATCAGTTTTAAATACATTTCAAGCTTCGTGAAAATTTACATAAAATGTGATGTAGGAAATTAAAGTAATTCATTGAATATATACCTTTATAGGTATAATAATAACCATTGAATAGTCATCGTAATAACAAAATAATAAAACGAAAATAATATTCATATTTATATTATACTTGCAGACCATTATTCTCTTTTAGCAAAAATGTGCATCCCATGAAAATTATTACCTTACATATTAATTAACATAAATTACATTAAATTCCCCTAATTTTCAAAATAGTAAATTTTTGAAAAAATTTTTATACTAATCACGTAAAAGTAATGTATCGCATTGCATTATATTGATAATCAAATCGTCTAGTTTTACACTTTTCCAAGCACTTGGAAGGACTTTTAAGCACATAAATAGAATTTCATAAAAGTGATATTAAGTTTACAATAATTAAAGAATCCAAGAATATTTCTAATCCACTACATAACGTATCCCTTGATTTTACAAAATTGAATTTTGTAAAAAGGAAAAAAAAAAAAAACAAAGTCAACGCATTCTAATAAAATATTTCATAATTTATTATAATTACTTCGAGACGCAATTTTTGTGCCGACCATTCCATCTCTTTGGATTTGTAGAACTGTCGGACCTCCTGCAGTTCCGCTTGCAGTGTTATGCAGTCCTGTTTGTGGTCTAGCAATTGCCTGGTACACAGTGTATTTTTTTATTATTAATTTTTTTTTCTTTTCTTTGTTTTTCTCGTCTTTTCTTTTTGTCTCATAAATACATAAGAATTTAATGAAATATAACGATTTCATACAAATACAGCCTTATGTAGGTATGTATGTTCTTATATTTCTTTCTTACCCGTTCAGTAATTGGTTTTCTTTCTCCAGTTGTAACTTAGATTCTGAAAGTTTTTCTTGCTTGTCCTTCAAATCGTTGAATTTCTGAACTTCATTTTTCATATCATTCTCAAGATCTTAACAGAATGTAACAAAAAACAAAACAAAAAACAAAATTAATTACCAAATTAAATAAATGAATGATGTAAGCGATGCATTTTAATGTGTAAAGTAACGATGCCAAACGTACACATTAGACAAATGGATTGATTAAAAAAAAAAAAAAAAAAAAAAAAAAAAAAAAAAAAAAAAATTTTAGTCTTATAATTTACTAAATTGCAATAATTTATTTTCGATTTACAAAAAAAAATATCGATATAAATAATGAAAAGTTGAAGGGCATCTTACTTGAAATTTTCTCATCGTACGATTGCTTCAAATTTTCCATCTTTTTTGAAATTAAACTAGCCTTTTCCAGCATTAAATTCTTTTTTTGTAACGATGCTATTTCCAAATCTTTATTTTGTTTCTCTTTTTCTAATTGTGTATGTAATTTTTCTTTTTCTTTCTTTAAAATCGACAATTCTGTCGTAACCTTTGCAACCTTTGTGGATGTTGTGTTTTTTGTATTTTCTAATTCCAATTTTGTTTGTTTCAAGTCATTCTCCAGCTGAATTTTTACTGTCTCAACCTAATAAATTTTGAGTAGCAATATATATTAAATATATAAAAGTCTGTATGAAATTCTATAATTAATTAATCATCAGCTAAAACAGCATAAAAATTATTTAATAGAGATTTGTAATTAATCTGTTGTAGAAACAAAAATTCTTTTCAATTTTGCTCACGAATTTAGTAATCCGTGATTCTAAATTCATGTCTATAAATTTTTATTTTTATTTTTTTTTTACTTAAAAATATTACACGCTAATAATATTTCGAACAAAGCATCTAATTAATGATTTAATAAAAAAAAAAAAAAAAAAAAAAAAAAAAAAAAAAAAAAAAAAAAAAAAAAAAATAAATAAATAAATAAATAAAAAAAACATAAGAAGTAGAAAATTAATTTGATTAAAGCTTTTCTAATGATCTGAAACTGGAATTATCGTAAAATGTTTATAAAATGTTCTTAAAAATTGATAAACTTTTTATTACAACATATTGTAATATATTGAATTATAAATTGTTTTGTACTATTCGTTTTAAAAGGCATTTCTTTTATGGTAATGTGGTAATCACATTCGTATTGCAACGATAATTTTCTTTTTTCCGTACTAATAGTGATGAAATTAATAATAGATATAGAAAAAATAATAATAATAGATGAAAAAATAAAAAAAAAAAATATCGATTTTCTTCTTTATTGTACTAATAATGAAAATTAAAAAATTATTATTTCATACATAAATGATGCTAAAATTCCGCATTTCATATTTCTATATTTTTTTTATCGAATTTTTACAAAATAAATTTTAAACTTTTGCTAATGTATTATTTATACATAATTTTTGTATTTAAGCTTAAGATAATATTAGATATTTTAGTTTTTATTTCTATCAAGAACAATATACTTTACATCAATACATGATTCATTCGGAGGAAGCAAAAACGTTAATAATATACCTGTACTGCTCGTACAACGATAAATGTTATCTTGCTGATTATGTTTATCCTTTAACTAAGAATTAATAATGTAAAACAGTATTTCCATTTCGGAAAATCGTCGTTTATCAAGAAACAATCGAAATGACAATAATAATAATGTTGCAGTGAACTGACCGTGGTCAAAGACCTTGCGAGTTTTGATTCTTTTTCGCTTAATGTAGAGAGATCGTCGTGAAGTTTTTTGTTACGGTCCTTTTCCTGTGAGACTTCCTTCCTTAGATCTGCTATGAGAATCTCCATTCGTGCGGTTTCTTTCTTTGAGGACGTTGCAACTTCTGCAGGAAATGAAAGCACAGAATCGGACAGCTTTAAATTTAATTTTGAAACTTGATAAATCAAGATACAGCTAGCGCGACTGTGCCCATTGTTATATTACTTCGTGCCATATTAAGTAAGGCATAGGGTAAATGAAAATACGAAGTAAGGCGTGGCGTGCGGAAGGAGAGCGGAAGAAAATGAAAGAGAAGGTAAAGCAAACGCGTCATCAAAATTACCAAGATCCTTTTTGAGCTGGACGACTTCGTTGTAGACCTTGAGTTTATCAGCCGACAGCGAGAGCAATTTCGACTTAAACTTCTCTTTTTCCTCCTGGAGTTTGACCTTCTCCGTGTCCCACGACTTGCGCTCGAGCTCACGCGATGCCTGGCTTTCCTCCAGTTTTTTCTTCACTGCAACGGCCAGGATATAACATTTAAAAATTCAAACAAAACAAGATAATGTTAAGGGAGTAGGATTTATTTAACTACATAATAGATAAATACTTATCGGACGTTGCGACCCGGAAGAATTTCACGCTAGGAAGAGAATTTAAGTGTATGTGTGTATTTTCAACCTGTTTCTGCATGCGCGCGCGCGCGCGCGCACACGCACATTTATAAGCATGCCAGGAAGAACAATGTTTCTGTAGTCATTCTAGACTTTTTGCTTATAGATTTATCAGGCGTTTCAGAAACAATCATTGAACGCGTCGATAGAAAAATAATTTACAATTTCCCATAATATATATTATGGGATATAATAATTTTGGATTTAAAATATTTTGAAATTAAACTAATAATAGAAAAAAAAAATTATTTGATCCAATAGAATATTTGTTACAATTTGACTGTAAAAAGTTACATTAACATTTGGAGCTTAATTTATTTACCGTAATCATTTCTTAAAATTATTTGTTATTGTTTTTTTTTTTCTCTATTATTATTTTAATTTCAAAATATTTTAAATCCAAAATTTAAGAAATTAATGTTTTCATTCATTTCTCTCCATTACGAAACAACAGTAACAGTATTATATTTACATAATATGCTTCATTAATATTATCATTATTATATATTTTTTTAATTAATTATGATATATTCAATATGTGACTAAAAATTGTCAACTTATAAAATCTAATATTTATGGCGAAAATGTAAATTTCAAGAATTTCCATATAACGGTTTCATACTCTATAGCAACATATTGCTTTTAAATGTAAAAATTTTCTTCTTAAAAATTAAATAATCTATTTAAATAAATTGACATTTCCTTTTCTATTGTAAAGATTTAATCATTATGTTACAATTCAATATAAATCTTAATAAATGTGTGTGTTTGTGCGTGCGTGTGTTTGTGTGTGTGTATTCATCTTACAATTAGCTAAATCCTCATTTTTCGAATCCTTTACGGTCGTTACCGTCCTCGTCTTCTTTTCTTTCTCGTGCGTTAACTCGTTCAAAGTCTTGTTATACTTTTCTTTTAATTGTTCATGCTCTTTACATAATTTGTCATATTTAAAATTAGGATGTACGATTCCCGATTCTCTCCCATCGATCATTTTTAGCATTGCACTTATTACATCTCCTAAAAATATTATATAAGAATTTAATCAAAATGAAATATGATAATGTAAATATAAGTATGAATTCATATTAATACAACATATTTTCTTATCAGATATTCGGCGTAACAGTGAATATTATATTTATTTTAGGAATAATTGATTTAAATAGTTGATTTATTATTAATATACTTAAAGATAAATTTAAGGCACAGTTCTACGATTCAAGTGATTCATTTACCTATGTCTTTCTCGATCCCACTGATTAACTTTTCCAATTGCATTTTCTGCGGATATTCTGTTAGTTTCTTTATCGATCGATTTTTATACTCAGTTCCAATTTTTTTCAGAATATCTTCTATCTTTTTAATCTACATTACATGGATATATAAAACGATACGAATTATAATTATTATAAAAGTGATACGATATTGACCAGAGATATATATTAATAATAGAAATTTCAGAAAAGTAATAAATAATTACTTGTTCGTATTTTTTTTCCAAATCTGTTTTGTCTGCTTCCAGCTGTTCTGCTTTGCGTTCTATTTTTCGCAGTTTGAACGACAGAATTCGACAATTTTTATTCGACTGTTCCAAATTCTTCCTTATTGTAGTGTATTCGTCAACTTGTTCTTCTCTTCAAAATGAACATTTTATATACAATAAAAAAATATTCAATAAGCGATTACTAATAATACGTATAAAATTATTTGTAATAATGTATATTGTTTTAATTATATTAATATAATTAAATTATTAAAAGTAACCATAAATTTTTGTACTTTTACGCTACAGATAATACGTTCATATATACTTTTATTTCGATAATACGTCTCTATATTTTTACATAAATCAATGAATTTCAATAATCCTCTCCATTGCTTATCACTAACTAATTTAAATTATTTTGAACGTTTATAACTCATAATAATCTAAAGGCATCGTATTATCATAGCCGATATTAAAATAAAGATAAACGTAATGTTCGGTTTAATATTTAAAAAAAATATTAATAGTTATTGAAATTAATACCTACTCGTGCAAATTCCTTTCTTGCTAGAGTTCCGGCTTGGGCTTAAAGATGTATTCTAATCACCTCTCACTCAGATGGTGGAAAAGGTAAATAAACATGAACATACCTGAAATTGTCCTGCATCTCATATATTTCCTCCTCGAGCTCGCGTATCTCCTTCTTCATGTCCTCGTTCTCGTCCATCAGACTTTCGCAGAGCATTTCTGCAGCCTTCAGCTTCGAGCGCAACTCTTCGTTCGCTCGCTCCCTCTCATTTTTATGTGTCTTCAGGTTCAATTCCTTTTCGAGGCTCTTTATCTTTGCAACAAGGCTGGTCCGTTCCTCTGTGAGAGCTTTTAATGATAGGATTTTAAGATTTAAGAATAATAAATCAATATTTATTGTTTGCCTCGTTGTTATTTTGCGGCGCACTTGAATCATAAATTTTATTGCTAGAGAGTCAGCGTTTATCCTTTGTTAAATATACATTCCATTTCATTGAACTTTACTAATTATGATTTTACAAGTGATAGAAAACATACGACTCGAATGATCATCAAAAATGAATGTTAAATTTTAATAATGAAAAATCATATAAAAATGAAAAAAAAAAAAAAAAAAAAAAAAAAAAAACAAAAAAATAGCCGATAGTAGATATGGAAATAATTACGTTTGAAATAAAACGACGATTAATGGATTTCAGCCAAATTTCAGCTTTAAAAAAACTTACACGAAGTGTAAATTAAGCAAATTTCAATTAATAGTAATACATTATAATGTAAAACAAAATCAAATCAATTTATTAAAATTTATATCGAAGAAAAACTATTAGTTTCAATTTGACTTTCTCGTCTATTTATTTGTATTATTATACTATTAATACTAATATTATTGTACTAATATTATTTGACCATCCAATGTCATTAAAATAGATTATTATTTACTTTCAATAATTTAAACCGAATAACTAATTATTGATTATATGAAGGAATTTACTAAAGAATAAAATTTAATATATTATTATGTTAATAGTTGTGATAATTAGTACGTACTATAGAAAAAATTTTGAAACTATTCATTATTTTAGTGTTAATAGAAACGAAGGTATTTACTATCATTTTTCGATTGTAAATCTTTTACAGTTTTTTGAAGTTTGAGAACATCGGTTCCCCATGACTTTAAAGATGTCGAATCCATGGTGGAGAGGCGACGCAGCAAAATCTCAGCCTTTTCTTTCTCAAGTCTTTCGCATCTCGCCCTCATGTCACTTAATTGTGTCTTGACCTTATCATCCTCTTGCTACAATCGATATTAACTAATTATTTTATTAATTCCATGTCTTAAGTCCAAGAAAATCTCACAGTCACTTGCTACGATGGATTTATTCCGTAAAAAAAAAAATTTTCCACCAATCAATTATTATTCCGACAATCTAATAAATTACCATTAATTTATAACAGCATTTTTTTTTTTTTTTTTTTTTTTTTTTTTTACAACAAAGTGACGAAAAGCAATAGAGCATTCGTTTATTGCTAGATTATTACAAAATTATTTAAGTAGAATGAATGGCTTTCTGAATATTAATTGTCGATTTAAAGAAAGTATAAAAGAGAAACTCCCTGACACGAGCAAAGAAATTTCTATCATTTTCAAATCATGACTTGTCCACTCAATAATATATTCCCTTTTATTTCAAGGTTGAAAAATTAAAACATGTTAAACAATAAATAATAATACAATGAGCAACGATAAGTACCTTATGTTTCTATTTTTGTTAAATATTATCGTAACATTTATAATTTCACATTTAGCAGAGAAGATTTACGTAAGTGAGGAAATATTAAAGGTCAAACATTATTTAAGCATTTAATAATGTTAGTTTAATGTTTATAAAGAATTTTTAATCGACATAGATGTTTGAAAAAGACGAAAGCAAGTATAATAATGTTTGTGCTTCATTCGTGACTGCGATATTTTCTTTAAGAGTATTAATCTTTTGTTTCAAACAGAAAGTCAAAATTACGTTTTCGGTTTTCCCCCCCAGCATCTCTTTTTCGGTTGACTCGGCATTTGCTCCAATTCGTTCAGTGATTCGCGATTTTCTTACCTTTGATTGATTGATACAAAAAAAAAAAAAAAAAAAAAAAAAAAAAAAAAAAGAAGAAAAGGCAATAACAGAAATTATTAATAATGTTAAATATTAATTCAGCATAGAAGAAATATAGTAAAGATTACGAGTAGAAGAATGTGGTATTGCAATATGAAATATTTCATAATAAAATGGCTTTGTTTAACATAATTGATAATAAATTAGTGTATTCTTGTAAAATCACTAGCTATTCGCTTAATTTTAATAAAAACAACTTTGCTATCCTATTTACAATTTTTGTTTTCTTATTAATCAAATTGTTTCGTAATATGTTGAGAATTCACATTGTTACACATGCATAGATATTAATTTATTATTGCTTTTGTGAAATGGAAGATCGAGAAAATTATCCGAAAATCTTGAGAAGTCCAAGAAGTCACAATGCAATACACATAGTTATTAGTTATTAATGTACCATCTTTATCAACGAACTTTTCCTTCATTATACAATTATTTTATCCAATAACAATGATTGTACACGATTGAATTGTGAAAACAATGTTTACCCAATTCCGAATTCCCGATTATCAAAGTGTGTTACGAAAGTGATTTTACATCAAAGAAATTCTTTCGCTTGCATGTATTATTAAATTCTAAATCATACTTATAATTAATTGTAAATTGACATGCATTACAGCATTAAACGCCATATCTTGAAATAGATTTTAAAGCCTTAAGCTTGACACGACAGGAAAAGCTCCCCCAACAGTGGCCCCAATACGAACAAACGTCATTCCCATCCCCCGGCCCCGGCAAAATAAAGCCTGCACCTGGATAATAAACTCGGCGTCATTATTGGATGTCGTCCCGTTGGATTTGTCGATTACGTTTTTGATTTGGAGCTTGTGCTTGGACTGGGGTGCCGCGGGTTCTTGATTGCATCCATCGGTCGGACTCTCGTTCATCGAGAAACGGCGAAAATTGTAAGTGTCAGATTGGCAACCAGCGTAGGTCTTGGGCCTGGTCGGTTTTATGGTAACGGTTACCTCGGGCTCCTGCGTTCTCAGGTCGCTTAGACTTAAGCTCGACAAGTCCATTGCCGAGCACCAAGCGCTCGCGCTCTCGGCTTTATGCATACTTTCGGCATTGGTTTCTTCATCCTTCACGAGACTCGATGTCGAGGCCCAGCTGCGTCCATTGCCCTCGTTACTCTCTGTCGAACTGTGAATTATCGAATGCTAAAGATGTTACGCGAATTAAACAATTACTAGGAACTCGGTATGGATGATGGCGAAGATGGTGATTAGATCGAGTGTTTAGGCAGCCAAGTTATAATGGCTAAGCTTCAGTGCGAGTAAAGTCCATGCATAAAGACTACATCGAGCAACTAAGATTATCGTAATTGAATAATAGCAGACTGAGGCACAGAGAATAAAAAAAAGAAAAAAAGTTATAAATAAATAGACGAATTTAATCGAATAAGTCCGTTCGGCTGTAATGTGATGTAGGCCCGACGAAATAGTATGCTGCTAGTTAGCAAAATTCGAAAATAATAACTTTAAAGTAACCAATCGCTTGATTTAAGTACGAAAAGAGCAAACACGCCGTCACTCGGAAGACTAAGTGCTGCTATGTAATCATATAATATAACAAACATTACATATTATTTGAACATTACATATCGTTTGAATGTAAAAAAAAAAACTAGTGATTGAAATTTAACATATATTATTTAAGCGGAATCTAGGTGCAGCTGCATTAAGCTTATAAAATTTATAGTATTAAATTCACTTTTCGAATGACCATTTATGACAAGTATTGGAAATAAATTTCTAAGAAAAATTTATAATCATTGTTATTTTAGAGAATTTAATTTAATGGATAATTGATAGAAATGTAAAATGATTATATATCGATACTTTTATCTAATTTTATTCTTCATGATGAATTGTGTAGTGATAAATAATTCGATCCTATGTAATATATGACTCAATTGTATGCGATTTTTATGCATCACAATTGCTCTGTGTGTTTGTATTTGTAAGCGAATAAATCAGAAATCAGCGATATAATTCATTATTTTTATACGTACAGTGAAGCTAAAAAGATTCATTATTTAAAATTCCCATAGTTAATCCTATCTTTTAATCTAATTTTTTTTATTATCCTAAAGTATAAAGCATAAATATTTAACACGCATATATGGGCGATCAACATTATTAAAAATTATTGTTTATTTAAAAAAAAAAAAAAAAAAAAAAACTCTATCGTCATATATTAGCATTAGTTTATCGGGTTATAATTTTTTTTTTATTAAATCTAAAAGTTTTTCATACGTAAATTTTTCATTGAAACATGATTTATAAGCAAATTCATAATTTATTATTTCAGTATATATTATTAATCTCCTGACTCGAATAGAATATATAGTATATAAGATTATTATAACGTTTATTAATATTATAAGATTCATAAATCATATATACCGAGTAGTCGTTTGTTTCCATATCGAAAGACTTGGCGATGACGCTGTAGCGTCTTTTGAAGATTTCTTCCCTCCAGGATCTTTATGGTCTTTATAATCTCTAAGAAAAATATGATAACAATGTAATAAATAATATGATATGTAACATGAAATTCATTTTGTAATATTATACACAATAAATACGATGAAATTTTATTTAAAAATAACCAGGAGGTCCGTAATTTTCATTTGTTTATTGTTTCAAATTGACATTTGAAGTTGAATATTATTTATTAATAAGTTAATTATATTTTCAGTATATCGTTATTTTCACTATATTTCACTTGTCGACTCCGCTACTTTAAACAATAAAATATATATTTAGTTATGAAATTAGAATCAAATTAAAGAATCTCTTGACGCGCTAAAGAATTCTTAAATAATCTTTAAGAAAATAATTATCCCATATATGTTTTTAATGCCCTAAGCTTCTATTGCATATAATAAATACATGATGTTAATATAGGAAAACATGAGAGATGTGACTCAATTTCACTGACGTTAAAGAGAGCGTTAAAAACCGTAACCTTGGTGTTTGAGAGGAAGAAGTGATGGCGTTCATTTCACTCGGCACTCGACGATTAATCAGGCGAGCGCGAACGCTCTATTTCCTCCATTGCAGTGATCTTAATTGTCATTCTTCTCTCTTTCCCTCTCTTCGACCGAAAATGGCCCCGGCGACTTTCTACTACGCAAATATATAATGCATCCAAATGCGTGGGCAGCCTTTGTTCACATATTATTCATTAATCAACGCACAAATTTCATTCATGTCATGAGCTCGATCTACTTCTCTCCCCACCCATTATCATTTATATCATCGTTTATAATTATTTTACTCTTGCTTCTTAATATATATATATATATATATATATATAAGTTGAAAGCGATTAATTCAATCAATTAAATTTTCGGCTCAATATATTTCTAAGCGATCATTTAATTTCAAATTTAACAGCGTAGAAAATAAGTATAAAATCATTTTTTTTTTTTTTTTTTTTAAGCAAAATGACAGAAATTATTAATCGAATGATATGAAAAATGGAGGACTTTTGCCACTTTATTAATTCAACGTAATGTTAAATACTATAACTCAAATAAAGTTTCGTTCGAACGAAACAAATTAAAGAAGCAATCTTAACGAACTAAAATATGGAAAGCCTTATTGTTTTAAATGTTAGTAATGTTCTTATAATGTTGAACATCCTTACGATTCATTATTTATTCATTATTATATATGCATCTATCTGTCGAAATTGTATAAACTTTACTTAAAATCCTATCCTGTTAAATTTACAAAATTCTTTTCGTAATAATATGCATTTTGTATTAAAAGATAATGGATGAGTGATAATGGAAAGATAAAACAGAGAGTGAAATTGTAAATAAAATTTATTCTAATAATAATTATTGTAGTATTCTTAAAATAGACTGCAGCGTGCAGTAAATTCAAAAATAAAATATTAGAGTGCACACTAACCATCTTTGCTAACGTTTTTGAAAAATATAAACTTAAATATTACGAGATTATACTTAAATGGATAATACGTTCTTGTTGTACAAGGTCATTTTTAGTTATTACGGTAAATAGCAAACCAATGACCTTGTGTATATTAAAAGCTCGTGTACATTTATTTTTTACTTTTTAGAAGGAAGTTTCATGTTACACGTTGTCAGTATTGATTGAAAAAAAACCTATGTAAATATATATATATATATATATATATATATAGAAATGTAAATAAAAAATAAAAAATAAATTTAAATAAGCAAAATATAATGTAAATAATCTAAATATAAATAATTGTTTATCTTACAGTAAATTTGTATCTATTTAAAAAATTTTATCTTTGTTACCCATATTTTTGTTCATAAAATTAATTTATATTTCTAAAATAAGAATAATAATAATTCTCCGGTAAGCATCATTACCATTATTTTTTATATGTCTATATAATTTTTAAAACTATTTTATAACTAAGTTTTATAATAAAGTGAATTTGTTATATTACATCTTTGTAATGTTTACCACATATCCTCTTGTTAATATAAATTAATTTCTCTCAATATCATAATGCAAAAAATAAACGTCTGTCTATATGTAAATTTCACACACATATTAAATTATATAATTTCATTTAATTCAAATATTTATTAATATGTAGAACAAATGATAAAATAAGTAAAATAATTTTCATTAATTTTATATATTGAAAAATTTCCATTTACCTAAAGATCCTTATAAACAGACACGGTTATGCCTCATTCAATTAAATAATTTTATTATAGTCTTTGATAATTATATAACTATAATATATTATATTGAATAAATAAAAAATTGGATTTTTTTATTAAATTATAGGATTTAATATTAGTACTTGACTTTATAAGCATAACTTAAAATAAAAACAAGCTAATAAATAATAGTGCTAATGAAATTTTATCAATAAGTAGTATATATTTATCAAATTGTGTAATTGAACTTTTACAACTTTTTTTGCTTTTACGTTCATCTCATTCTATTTAGTTCCACACCTGCAGACACATATTTATCCATATATTATTAAATATAGAAAAAATACGAAATATATAGAAATTTTTACAAAGTAAATGTACGTTTCATGCATTACTTTTAATATTTATCTTTAAAAATCTTCTTTATAGTTCTTTTGTTAATGAAATAAATTGTTTTGTTTTTAGCCCATTCTATCATTAATAATGAGCATTTGTTTCAATAAGCAGCATAGAAATATTAAATAATAATCATTAAAATTTTAAACTCTCTCTTTTTTTTTTTTTTTTTTTTTTTTTTTTTTTTTTTTTTTTTTGGTTATTAATTAAAAACGATAAAAAATTATATATATGCATATATTTTTTTTATCATAGAATTTTGTTTTAAATGAAAGTATTTTAATAATATTTATCTGTAATGTCTACATAACAATTATCATTATGCATGAAATTAACATACTTACCTAATAAAATTCAATTTATAAACACAATTAAATTAGCATTGATTCAACATTTTTATTTCATATAAAAAAAATCAAATATTTTAAAATTATTTACTTGAGAAGTTTTGTATCTTGTATTTATTACTAATTACTTTTCTAATAAAGCTTATTTATCATTAGTTTTATTGAAAAAGATATAATCAAAGCAATCACTACTAATACAAGAATAAAACACTTTGCAATTATTTTAAAATTAAGTTTTATTTTATGTAATTCAATTCCATTGCCTTTTTATATATATATATATATATATATATATATATATATACAGCATAAGTTTCATTGTGCACGAATATGAATCTAATATATTTATTATTTTGAAAAATGTTAAACCGTTCAATGTATAATATTTTTGTTTTTTTTTTTTGTTAAAGATTATTTTAGTCGATTAAAATATTAATTATATTAATCGAATGGCCATGATTCTTATATAAATAATTTTTATTGGCTCAAATCTGGAATAAGATTGAAAACTTTTATTCAAATGTGTAAAAAGAATAACTGCATTTTCCCAATGAACTGAATTCGTTAATGCATTATTAATAATTATTTATTAATATTAGTTATTCTCTTTACTAATTAAGGTGTAATTTTCAAAATGCAATTAATAGAATTAATTAGATACAGCGCAATATTTTTTTCGATGTTTCCATGATGTTTAAGAAATATCGTTCGATAGTCAAATCTATTAACTATTTTATATTTTCAATATATTGCCATACTTAATGTTATTAAAAAGAATAATTCTAGATGAAATAAACGTCATAAAAAAAAAAAAAAAAAAAAAAAAAAAAAAAAAAAAAAAAAACACAATATTACTTGGTGTATTAAAACAAGGAAAAATAAAGAATATTATGTTGATAATATGAAATAAATATAACAAACTCGGAGAATTTTATTTTACTGGAAAGTCTTTAATACCGGAAATTCATACTCCAGCTTCAATCATACTAAATTATTTATTTACCTAAAGCACCTCTTGCACCTCGTGGGCCATCGCACCTGCGGATGAAAGCCCAAAGGACAGAGAGGATCTCCCGTGGAGGTTGGATACAGGTGGTGCATCGTTTTCGTATATTAACCTCTGATAAGAAGATTATCAAGACCGTTGAACGTCATTTCATTTATGCTATTGCACGATACACTTCCTGCTTGTCTTAAGGCTTACGTTAAACCAATGGTAATGCATAATTAATAAATTCCATGCTCTTCATAACATTATTCCACTGCCAATGCATCTTATGCATTCTGTATTACCATTTTTATCTAAATAATCGCTCGCTCGAGCAATGATTGTCACTTGCGTGAAAGTATCGCACCTCGACCTGATTTTCCCGTGTCTTTCCAAAATAAAATCAGAACGGTGTTCCGTGCCTCTGGCCTTTACGCCGAGTGCTTACGTAATGGACCCTAGAGTACGAAGAATATGACGAAGAAGAATACGGGAGACGGGATGGCAAGGAATCGCACACTGCAATTGTAAGTGCAAATCGGTCGCTAACCCAAATGCAAATAGCGTGACATGGGTGGCAGGGGGGGGGGAGGATCGAAGGGAGTAGAAACGATCGGCGCTCGCTTGGCTCGAATTAAATTTATCCTAAGCGACGGAGCACAGCAGCCGTTGTGTATCTATTTTGCTTCCTCATAGACGAATATCGAATTCTTGACTGTATTAGAATACGAACACCATATATTTATTTCATTATCGTGGTGCTGCACTTGTTTATCAGCAAATTAAGTAAGTATTATCGTGCGTAATACTACTACAGCTTCTAAACTCTTAAAGTTATTACTAAAATTCACCTCCTTCAAAATTCTTATTTGCCTCTTTATTAACGTAAATGTAAATAATTTTTAGAATACAATATTCCATTTAAATTTTCCATAATCATATGAAACACATGTTCTAAAGTTTATAACTCAACTTGTAAAAATTGTTATTATAATTATTTATTTACATAATATTAAAAATTAAATTCTCTTCTATAATTATAGATAACGAGTTATTTCATTTATTTCAAGAGCTACCTACACATTACATCATTACATCAATAATAATCATAAATCTCCTATTACACTTATTTGGGTATATCTTATGTTTATCCAACTCTTAATGTTTATCGAAGCAATCATATTATTAAATTTATTCTCCTCCAACTCGCGTAACTCACAAAATCACAGGCAAAATTATCGAAACCTCAAATATAATTTTACCGATAATATACTTAAATAACTTTTTCCCATTCCTTTTCTGCGATGCACGTCTTTATTTTTATTTGAATATTATTGTTGAAATTATTAAGATGTAAAGATGAACTAACCGCAGTTACCGATTTGAGTCTTAGACAACTACTACTGCTACCATTACCAAGGAGGAAAATTTTTGGTCAGTCGAGAAACCGACCGTGTATGTTCTTTCTCTTTCTTTCACTGGATATTGGCTGGCAGCCAGTATGTATATTTGTCTGTAGTTATAAATATAGTATACCATGATTACACAGTGGAAGAATTATGTGCACGTAAGAAGGAAAGAAGAAGAAAATGATCAACTTTCTTTTCCTATTTGCTCGATTAATGAATTATATTTTAATCGTAACGTTTACTAAAGATATAATTAATTTTTTTATTTATTTATTTTTTTGTTTTTTCGTCGTAGTGAAAAAATAACGATATTTAGCATTTAAAGGACATTTCAGCAATAAATAAATCAATACGTTTGATATTTTCGGACAAACTTCTGTAATATTTCATATTCTGTATTTCTACATATATAATAAATTTTAATATTTTATAATATTTTTTCTCTCCTTTTTTTTTTTTTAGATATTATATTTGTTTCTTAATAATTTTTTGATATTTCAGTTAACTGAACATTCAAATTAAATGAATGACGCCGGTTGTAACAAAAATCTTTGTGTAATAAAATGCTCTCTTTATAACAAAAATGAAAATACAATCCTTTGATATATCCGAAATTATTAAGTTATGATATAAAAAAAAAATTAACTTATATATATTTAACTTGATTTTTCAATATACTATATACGAAAACTTATTTAATAAAATTATAAACGTACTCGATAAACTCAGTAAAAGCAATTCAAATGAATAAGATTAATTTATCCAAGAGCATAAGTGGTCCAAATGCTTGAAAATCATCTGTTTTATACATCTATTATCTTTTCACTTTAAATATAACTTTTTTTATTTATACTTAAATATAGCATGCTATACCCATTTAATTATAGTTGTTTTAAATTTAATTAAAAAATTAAAAAGGTAAATGGAGATTTAGATTTTTCATGATATTTTTGAAAATAGTTTAGAAAAATAAAAAATCGATATTGATATATATATATATATATTTCATTTTTTGTTTATATTTTTTAACTCTTCATTACTTTAATGATATTAAATTGCAAAATATTAATATATGGAAAAGAAATGATTTTTAAAGATAAAAAATTTCTAATAATTTGGTTAAAATATTTTAGTCATTAAAAAATCAAAAACTATACGAGGATGAAATAATTCTTTTTCACATTAAAAACTTATTAAAATTTTTGTAAATCGTTTGTATTTTCCTAAAAACTTTCAAAAACAGAAAAATGATATTTAATGACTATTTAAGAATACTACAATCAATAAATATCGAAAAGATATTTTTCTTTACACAAAATAATTTTAATACTGAAGTTGATTACATGAATTAATGTGGCTCGTAATCTCTTGATTATTATAATTAAAGAAAAATGAGAAAACAAGGCATGTGAAGCATCACCGACATTTTTTCATTTTTATATTTCCATATTACATATATATATATATATATATATATGCGTGTGTTTATATCTGCGCGTGTATGTGTATAATTGTAACATAGTTATATCAATTTATAAATTAATTATTTTTAATATATATGTTTTTTCAGAAAATCTACATATGAGATTATAATTTAAATGAGAATGATGACATACGTTACTATTTATTTCACGATTTGATGAAAATATTAAAAATATTTTAATTCTTATCACCTATACTTAGGCTTTATTCGAGGAGAATCTTTACTTTTCATATGACTTTACAGATGAATTTATAGATTACTATAATCATTATTGTATATGATCAATTTCATTTTATAAATAGTAAGTGAAAAAAATTTTAGAATAATTTTCAACAAAAAATTATATGTACATGTTAATTTAATTATTTTCATCAGAACGTAAAGTGAGAATTAATCAATTGGCGAGTAATAAATTGTTCACGTAATAATTAGATACGTTAATTATACTACAAATATATTATTGAAATACTGAAATATTCTTGAAAAACTGTGACAGTCGTTGCATAATCTGTCATTCGTTAAAAAAAAAAAAAAAAAAAAAAAAAAAAAAAAAATTTAAGCCATTACACATAAGTTGACTACGACAGACATAATTTAAAAGCCTTGATAATAAAAAGGATTTTACTGAATTACCCATGATTATAACATGCAACATATAAGATGGCATAGAAATAGAAAAGAATATGTAAAAGTGCTTAGGAAAATTGAAAAGTAAAGACGGATTTGCGGAAAGCTGTTTAGACCGCAAAACTTTGTTATAATAACAAGCATAGTTATTAAAAAATCAAATATGAATGTATTGTCATTATTATTTTACCAGCATTCCTGTCATACGAGAAAATACGAAGTGATTAAATGTTTAAAGAGATATTCAATTTTTACATGGTTTTAACAGTTTAAAAGTATTTAGAATATTCTTTTCTTTTAATGTTTAATTTTTTTTTTTTTATTGATTAAATTTCTATCTGTTTATTCTCTTTGAAATTATTTTGTTTATATACATTTTTATAATAATACAAAACTGTAATATTAGTATTTAATAAAATATTATGTGACAATATAATCTGATTTATGTATTATAATTTTAAATATAAATAATAGAAATTATACATGAAATCCGTATAATTTTGTAGTGAGGAAATTATTTTTTTTTTTATAATTTTAACTATTTTACCAGTATTCATAAATATTGTGATTAGGTGAAGTCGAAGATATATTTCAACGCAGACTAGAATAAATAATAAATACAAGCTCAGCTTAAAAATTATTGCACGAATTGATTTTCTCAGAATTTGAATACTTAAAAAATGGATAAAATAATAATGAAAAGGGAAAAAAAATACGCCAAAAATACTATTAATAGTAAAATACGTAAGTAGGTACATACATAGTAAAATAAATACATAGTAAAATACATGATTTCCACTGCAATATTCGATAAGTTACAGAATGAATAGCCTCGTTTAAAAAATAATATATTACATAATATTACATTTCATTAAGAATTAATAATATATTAATAACTTTTAATTGCTAATAATCGATAAATTCCGTTTGTAAAGTTAAATTTCGTAAAATATTTCAATAATTGGATAAACTGTATATTTATTAAAAAAAATTTTATATACAAATATAAATTTTATTCATGTCTATACTTTATGAAATAATGTTTAAAGGCAATATATTTTACTATTTTTAATATAACTGTAAGTTCAATTGTGTGTGTTATAGTTGCATCTGACTATTTGTTACAAAAAAAAAAAAAAAAAAAAAAAAAAAAAACTGACTATAGTATATATAATATATAGGTATAACATTTAATATCTTTAAAATTTAGTTTATAATTAATATAATATAATTAATATAATTTATAATTTAAAAATAGTACAAATTATCTATATTCATACTTCAATTATTGTTATTAGAGTATATATTCTAATTCATAAAAAAAAATGATAGAGAATATAAGAAAACATAATTGAAGTAAATAATTTATACAGATTTATTTATTAAAAATTAGCAATTGATTAAAATGATATAAATTATAAATTTCTCAAGTTTTATTAAAACTATTAAAAAATATTTATTTTCTTTCTTATTTCGATATATATATATATATATATATATATATATCATATTATTAAAAAAAATTGTAAATTATTATTGCTTTTAATATGTTTAAAAACAAAGGAATCCGTTATATTGAAAAATTATAATAATCTTTTATAATTAGACCGAAAATGATAAATAATTATAACATATCTTTAAAGTTCATTTTGAGGCATATGATTTGCAAGTGTATTCAAGCGATGAATGACATTAGCATTCACTCGACAATTACAAGGATGAACATATTTATTATATTGGATACTTTCGTACCAAAATGAACGTTATTTGTCTTTAATTATATGAGAAAGTTTCAGATCTTTTTATTATCAATTTCTTATATTCCAAATTATTTATATCGGCTGGAATTGCTTATAATCAATTTAAAAATTAGAACAGATGAGAATCGAATTAGTTTTTATTTATAATATTTTAATCTTTCAATCTTTATTATTAATCTCCGAATCTTTCAATCAGTATTAAATAATTCATCTTCAGCATCGATGAACCGAATGATTATATATAAATAAACATATACAATATTGTAACTATTAGAAATTGAAATTTTAATAAAACCAATTATTATAAA